AAAAAAAAATTTTTTTTCAAATTTTAAATAAAACAAGTATCTTTTTTATCCATCTGCTGTCTCAATGTAGACATGAAAGTTTTAAAAAAAAAGGCCCACACTGTCAACAAGAAGTGTTACATTGAAACTGTATTGTCAGAATGAAATTAAAAAAAAAACAGTTTTTTTCCATTGTATCCAATGTTTTGAAACAGTATAAACAACAGTAGGTGCAAACTGAGTGGCTTATCTGGCTGTCAAGTGCATCCCTTAGCTTATCCGTTCAAAAATAAAGCTTGACAAGTAGGTAGAATAGTGTGCTAATTACGTGGTCTACACAGAAGAATTAAAAAAAATAGAAAAATGGTTGAGGAAAAAACAAAGCAGTTTGTTTCAGTGAGAAACGAAGAAAAGAAAGGCTTGGAAATTGACTTGATTGATAAACCAAAACGTTGTTGATATTCCATTCATATGGCTGCTGGATGGCGACGATTTGCTAACAGATCGCCATATCCAGAAATTACTTCCAGTGCAGATCACTCGTCAGTGGTTTATGGACCTAAATCTGATCGTCGGTATCGAATTGAATGGGTTAGAGCGTATTATGAAAGTCCGCCACAGTTATACTACTAAGCAGTGAAGAATTTTTTGCAAAGTGCTTCAAAATTAGATAGTAGTTACATCAGATGCTTATTATTGATTTCAGATTCAAGGGAGACGAAACGCCATAGAGGAACAACAAACGATTGAGTGGGTAGCCGAAACAGTTGGAGAAAAGGCACCGAAAGATATGAATGAAGTGATGGAGTGGCTTCAGAACGGTATTGTCATCTGCCGGTATATATTTCTCTGAAAAACAAACTTCCCAATAAATTTTACTGTACTTATTATTGTTGATATTACTGCTATTGCCTTTACCATTTATAGCGAATTCGTAACCAGGGGTAATTTTCAAAAGCTTTTTTTGATCAGTTTTCATTGTTTTATAAGCATCTATAATATATCACCTATAATATATCAACAAACAATTTCAAACAAACATGCTGCTGTTTTAGGTTGTTTGAAGAGTTATATCCCGGCGAACTCATAGGACGAATTAATGAAAACAAATCACAATTTCATGCAAATGAAAATATAACAAATTTTTTAAAGAGCGCAGAAAAATCTGGTTTTTTGTCGGTGGATTTATTTGAACTCAGCGATTTGCAAGCAAAAAAAAACATTTCTCGAGTGCTTCAAACACTTACAGCAATTAAAAAGAGGGTAAGTTGTAGGTTTTTCCGTAAACCAATTTTTTTGTTGTCTCTCAGAACTTTTAACTTGTCAAGAATAAACTTTCAGTCTTTGTCGGTTTCTTACGCGTTATCGTTATCTCTCGTGTAAAATCAGTATTATAACTATCGGTATTATCAGCATATAAACCTTTTTTTTTTTTTGGTACATCTCTTTAGTGGACGGTTAACAACGGCCACATAAACCTCCTCCTTCTCGTAACAATAAAAACGGCTTTTTCCAGGGTCGAAGATTGAAGGTATATCATTACGGCAGTTAAATTTTTTAACGAAACGAAATGTATTTACAAATTTACAAATATAAAAATGAGCAAATAAAGTTTTAATAGTTTTGTATACTTTATACAGAAAAGCACAAAAAATGGCTGAATCCTGACAGTCCTAGTTTAATAAAACATTTACTTAAAGCTTTCGAAAATTTTGAAATTAATTTTTATAGACAGTTGAAAAGCATTCAATTTGGTTTTCTTTTAAACAAATTCATTTTATTGCTGCGGTAAAGCTTAGCATAGAAAGGTGTTAAAAATGACACCTAAGAAGTTAACTAGTTTATGCAAAATAGATTCCATTAACCAGCAAAACGAGGACTCAAATGAAGATAAGAGTGGTTTGTTTCATGACTGTTTGATCGGTGCATACAGCAATCTCCTGTTACAATTATTACCATTAAAAAATATCCTTACCACTTTCTGGATTGAGCGATAAAATGCAAATGAGAAACTAACAGTTTATTTGTATTTAAGAGCAACATACATAAAAACAATTCTATCTTCTGACGAACATGTGTTACTTGATATATAACAGACAGCTAAATTCTCTAATCTGCTGTCCTGTAAATTTTAAATTGACGACAAAGAACTTCTTTGACAGCACACCCAGATAGACGGTCATAGAATTACATTGAAATGGAAAGAATTTTAAAGAATCTATGGATTAAAATTAAACTTCTCAGCACAGCTAACTAACCCACCATATAAAATTTTGGTGACAGAAAACAAAGCTTGGCTCAACTTCAACGACAAGCAACCAATCGAGCAACCAATTATTCGGTGATTCAACAATGAAAATACTTCCAATTACGGTTATTTGTCCAGTTTTCTATACCAATTAGGAAATTTCCAAGATAATTGCGGGTTTGCAGAATCTTCACAGATGGAAACCTTTTAGTTTTAAAAAACCGCTAATGAATAACAGAAACGAATTGCTGTTAATCTTTCTTTTCTAGTTATTAGCAGTTATATCAAGAGTTCACTGCTATTCACTAAAACTGTTAGATTATGCACTTCGTGCACAAAAGTCTATAAATTAGTACCGCTGGTTTAGGTAACTAATGCATAAGTAAGCAAGATTTTTTGCGTTACGGTCTCAACCGTAAAGCAAAAAAATTTTGAGTTGTTTTATTTTATCCATGTCCCGCAGCGACTTCTTGAGTCTAAACAATTTGAATTCTTCAGGTAGTAGAGCCAAACGTAAGTGTTGGAATTTTGCCAATCTCTTAAGTTTTTGTAGCTTCCCAGTAACTTTCGCTGAAGTTGGTCTGTCGGGTGGTTGTATCAGAATGCTATTTTTCTTTTCGTTAATTGATAAATTGTTTGATCCCGTAACCTTCTGTTATGTTTTCGGTTGGTTGAACTTTTTATAGGATGGGTATTTGTAAGGTGGATCAGGTCGATCAACCTTTTTTTCATACTCCCTATCACGTAGTTACTTCCGCTGTCGTGAAGAAGCATATCGTTGATGCGTTGTTTTACTCGTTAATTAAGACACTTTTTCATATTTCCAGATATTTGTTACGTTGTGTTGGCTAGACTTTTTCTTTTGATGTACGTTAAAGTGTGCAGTTACTTTTTGTGTAAATCTAGGGCACTACCTGCGACGGATAAAGGTCGGCATAAAGTTTCCAAACGTTGATTTCTGGTTGTTAAGGTTAATGAGCAAGGTTGAAGCAGCGTTGCATTGATGTGGACAGATTAACGTTATTAAATTTTGACTGCTGAGCTAGTGCTGTTGTGAAATAGCATTCTTGGAAGGATTCGATAACTTTTTATCAGTTGAAGTTATGTGGTGTAGCTAACGGGTAATTACGTGGCAGATATTAGGTTTTTGTGAGGGGCAAGATATTGGTGAGATATTGGAACAGTTATGAATAGGAGTTATGAAGGAAAGATTGTGTACTTGCACTTAGTCCGTTGGCATTATTCATCAGTTCTATCAATTGCACATCGTTGCAGGACTTGTGTTCTCATGAAATGCATTATTTCCGCATCGTTTCCTTGTGCTTGTTGATAATTGAAAGTATTATTGTTCATTTTCGCGGCATTAATGGCAAATTGACGTTTTTTAGTATATAGATCACTACGAGTTACAAATTTGTTCTTTTTTCTACTTTCAGAATTTATGCATCAATCTTTTTAAAGTTCGATTTGCTATATTTGTCCATTGGTAAAAATGTTAATTGGCAATGTACCGGATGAAGAACAAGATATTATAGGATGCCAAGATCTAGTTGAACCTGTACCAAGTACTTTAACATTTAAAGTTCCTCCGTTAGGAATAGATGTAAGTTCTTGGATTTGTTGGCATTTTTTAATTTTATGTTATTAGTAACATTTAACTTCTGACTTATATTTTTTTTCATCCAACTTCTAATTCTGCCAGGAAAATAGATTTGATTTTTTGTTTTAAGCCGAAGGATTTTGTGGAAAAACATTTTGGAAAAAATTCTGATGCGAAGAATCTTCAATTCCGAAAGGGAACTACGACGCTGGCCTTTATTTATGAACCAGAAACGCCGAATGATCAAGGTGGTATAATAGTTGCTGTGGATTCTCGGGCATCAGCAGGGGAATACA